GCTTGCCAGGGAGGCGCTTTTGCCGCTGAGCTAAATCCCCAGCCCCAGTTTATGAGTTTTTTGTTTTGTTCTGAGACAGGGTCTCGCTATGTGGCCCAGGCTGGACTCGAACTCGCCACGTTCCTCCTGTGCCACCGCCCCTGGCTTTAGTTTATGAGTTCTTATGGGGATCCAGGGACTTTCTGGTGTGTGTGGCTCCGAGGAGACTTTTGTTTGTTTTGTCTTAGGGGAGGGCCTCAGCCGTGTGAGGCAGGTCCTTTGCCACTGAGCCACACCCCCGGCCACCAGAGAAGCTTTTACAAAGGAGCGGCTGGATCACAGATCACAGGGTCACCTGGCCTAGCAGGGGTTGGCAAGGAGAAACGGGGACAGATGGCACGATGGGACAAGAGGGCGGTGGTCATTTAGGGTGCGCGGTTCTGGATTGTGGTTGTGAATCATCCACTCAGGGTGGGCCAGCTCTGAACCCAGGAGCCTGGAGGTGAGGTGGCTGCAGAACCAGGGATTCCGGAGCCTCTCCTGTGGCAATTCAGGCACAAATTGGTATTGTTTGACTGATATTCTGTGTTGTGTGTACGGGGTGTTGGTGAAAGTTGCTTGTAAGAGGTATGTGTTGAGCTGGGCGTAGTGGCACACACCTGTAACCTCAGGACTCTGGGAGGCTGAGGCGGGAGGATTGCACATTTGATGCTGTACCCCCCAGTTGCCTCAGGGACATCTCTATCTGCTCTAGAGACAAGTTCTCTTTCACAGTCTGCCTACATCTGTCTGTCTGTCTATCCATTTTGTGCTGGGAATTGAACCCACAGCCTTTACCCTGAGTTGCAACTCCAGCCCCTTCTTCATTTTTTACTTTGCTGAATGTGGTGGCACATGCCTATAATCCCAGCACTCAGGAGGCTGAGGCAGGAGGGCTGTAGTGAGTTTGAGGCCAGCCTGGGCTACATAGTGAGTTTAAGGCCAGCTTGGACTACATAGTGAGACCTTGTCTCAAAAACAAATTTTTTAAAAAAAAAATTTTGACCCAGGGGCTAAGTCACTAAATTGCTCAGGCTAGATCTGAACTCATGCTCATGCTGCCACTCCTAGAGTGCTGAGACGGCAGGCATCAACCACAGGTCCCAGTGTCATCATTAGCCCTGCCCCTGAATTAAACTTCTTCTTGCCTCAGTTTGGCAAACATGGGTCGTAGGATGGCTGCCCCCCAACCCTGCCCCAGTCAGCAGCCCTAACTGCGGCTGTGTCCCTTGTGCTAACGGACATCTCCCCGTGCCTGCGTGTCCAGGCCCTGGGGCTGAGGAGCGTGGATGACCGGGGGCTGGTCTCAGAGGGCGGTGAGGATGGGAACTCCCTGCACTGCCTCCTGGGCGGGCTGGACTTGCTGCTCTAAGGGAGGCGCCCTCGTGAGGTCTCCCGCTTCGCTCTCCGCTGTTTTGCTCAATCGGCTCTGACCTCTGGATGTACAGGTTTGCTTTGCCTTTATCAGGGCCGCTCTGGGGATGTTTTGGGTTTCTGTGGGCAGGCCAGGGAGGCTCTTTTCCTGATGTGTTTGATTTTCGGCCACCTCGGTTTACAGTTCATGATTGCACGATGGCAGAGGTTTTCTGAGGTTGAGGGAAAACAGCAGCTTGAGTGCTGGGATGTGGCTGGATTTTTGTGGGCCTCCTGCCTCAGAAGAGGGATGCAGGGGTTTCCCAGGGGCAGGGAGCTGTGATCAACTGCCGAAGCCCCAGACAAGCAGCACTGTCAGGAGCCATCCTTAGGGCTGAGAGAAAA